CGCATATAGAAGAAGGTCATTTGCCCATGTGCATTCTCTAACTCTGAAACCATTGAATTAATCAAGATGGAAGAGTTGAATTTATGCTTTGAAGCCTCTTTGGTATGTGCTTGGAAATGTCTCTGATGAAGTAATTTAAATTTCTGATGATACTGCCCTAATCAGGATCATCTGGCAATATGGCATGTGCAGCCAGAGAAGCTCTTGCAAATGGCTTTGGAAGTTCAAATTTGTCATTTCACTCATTTTGTGATATGATATCTTGTTTGACATTAAGCTTACCATTAAGAAACTTCAAGCAACGGACTTCAACATACATTCTGCTATACAACAGCTGCAATAGATCAAGAAGTTTCTGGAGGAATGCAGGAGTGATGAATTGTTAGAAAAGACTTGATTCTTTTAAGCTTGCTTAGGAATTTGGAAATACCAACAGACTTTGAACCAGAACCAGCATGTATCCAGAGAAAGAAGCAACAGTTCACATATGAGGCAAAGATGAGTAAGTTCAGGTTCCAAAACAAAAATTCAAAGTAAAACATTTTTACTTTTCGATCCTAGTTACTACAATCCAGTCAGTTAAAGAACAATTTGAGCAGATACAGCAGCTTGATTCAATATTTGGTTTCCTCAATGATGTGCATAGTTTGCAAAATAAGACTTCCAAACAGACATTAGAACATTGCTAGAAGGTAGAACTGGCATTACAATATAGAAATTCAAAAGATATTGATGCAGTAGATTTGTCCAGTCAACTGAAGGCTATTTCACAACAACTTCCAAGACATGTTACACTTCAAGAGGTATTGAAGTTTATTTCTGAACACAAACTCACCAACAGCTTTCCCAATATCTTTATGGCTCTTCACATTCCCTTCATTCTTCCAGTTTCTGTTGCTAGAGTGGAGCATAGCTTTTCAAAGTTAAAATTGATAAAGACATATCTTTTTCTTTTTTGCTGGAAGAGAGACTTGTTGGATTGGCCACCATCTCGAAAGAATATGAAATAGCATTAAAAACTTTGTCTCAAACGACTTACTGCCTGTGACGGGGCCCCGGAACCCCACACTAAAGCCCCTGTGGCAAGTGCCCTATTCGGGCGGCAGGGAAGTGCACGCTGGCATTGTGCTGGGTGTACCCGCGCCGCAGACCAGCTGGCAGCCTCAGGTGTGGCGGCTGTGGCACAGACTCTGCGGAAGGG